AGCGACTCACGCCCGCTTCGCCCTTGTTCGTTCCTAGCTTGCTTCCCGATTCCCAAGTTTGTACTTTAATCCCCATTTTCACCCCCTTAAGGGATGACTTTCGGGATAAAAAGTATCCTATGTCCTTCCCAGTGTCTCAAACTATCTTCTTACTGAATTTCATCTAAATCAGTTTGGTAGCTCCAGAGATTACCCCCTACAACGTCACAAACTCACAAGCTTACAATCTCATAAACTTTACATCTTTATAATATTAGTATAGATAATATATAATACCTATACAATACAAATATATGTAGACAAAAACCTAAACATACACAATCGTGTTATAGTTTCCCTATATTTACTTGTACCAATTAAAATACTTAAAAAAAACCTTAACGACTTGCCACAGGCAAATGCTCGGTGTACGCGTTCTAGGATTAAAAAGTATTAAAAACAAACACCCACCCCACAATTCATTGAGATGGGTTTTCAACATGCCACTCATCGCTTTTGACTCTACAAATTTATCTTTACACCTAATAAAAAGAAAATTGAACTTTATTCCGTTCAAATACTTACTATATCTTCTTTTCCGATAATAATAGGGGTCGTAAAATATTTCATATAGACAGTGAGTGCGTCTGAGTGCTGTATTTGCAAGTGTTATAGCAAAGCTGGCAAGGTTTTAGTGGTACTAAATCGAAATGTAAATATTTTGAGTTGATTTTTCCAACTTTTATTTATGCAAAGCAAATGTAAATAGCGTTGGTAGCTTAGATTTTTAATATTTTACTTAAGTTAGATCAAATATTGTCGAGAGAACAGTATATCAAATGACCAGTCAAATATAGAGTGCAAAATGAAAATGATTTTTTTTGATAATTAAAAAAAAATGATTTATAGTATTTTTTAATTCTATACTAAGTATTCAAACCTATGAATGATTAAGTTATGTATTTTTTGATTTTTGTGTTAATAGTTTGACATTTATCTATACTTGTTCACCCAGTAGTCGAAATTCGGCCATAATCATTATATAGAAAAAATCGGTCAAGTGTCCTTCCTCATACGACACAGGCAGTATAGACCTCTGATAGACAGACAGACGGATGCCTACCAATATACAATAGACGGAGACAGTGCCTACCAATATACGATATGTATTAAAAAAAATGTCAACCCTAAAATTGAATGAATATTTTTTATTAATAACACTAAATCTCTTCAATAGTAATTAAAAAAAAGGAAAACGGTTCACAGACACAGAACAAAAATGTACTAAACTGTTTTGACTTTCCTATTTATATATATGTAGTTTTAATCGAATTACGTAAAGTTACTCCATTAACATTATCCAAGTACTAAAACGGATTGTAATTACTTTTTAATTTCAGTACAAGAACTTTTATAGTTGGCAACAGGTAACGATATATTAAATGTTAAGCGCAGCTAATAACACGTTCTTCGAGGAATGGGGAATGGCATAATGCTATAGACATTCTAGCCTCCAGCCTAAGCTGCGAACTAAGTCAACTAACGACAGTGTAAACACAGATATTAGCATGTGCAGCTATAATTTCATCTAGTTAGATCCTTTTGCAAAATAAAATTTCGCATTCCGTTGTAAGCCTTATTTTAAGTACATAAGCATTCACAAGAGTTTGCATTACCTGCGCATAGATCTGTAGTAGCTCTATTACATCGGAATACGCTTGGGGCATTAAAGTAATACACTACTCAGTTCAATTGCATGCATATTTAATAACAACAAGATCGCAAGTCAGTGAATAAAGTGGGTAGATTCTGAATAAGATCTCAAACAATATATATTCTGTATTTATTATATTATTATTTTTAATACATAGTACCTGGGCGACTTCGCTCGGTGTTTTGAGAAAGATATAAAAGTTATATACAAGAATCGTTCATTAAATATAATAAAAACGAAGCTTGGATTCAGTATTGCCCCCTAGCGTATATAGTGAGAAACAAAACGTGACATCCATTAATTACGTGAGACAATTTTGGCGATTTTTCGACCCCTCCCTCCCCCCTTGGTATGATTCGTGAGATTTTGCTGGACCCTCTCCCCCTCCCCTAATCTCACGTGAGATTTTTTTAAATGTGGAGAAAATAAAATAATTATTAATTTTATTTTCTCTAAATTTAAACTGTCTAATCTTTACAATTACCAATCTGATTTGAAAGATTCTTTTGCATTTTATAACGTTTTTACTGAGAAATAGAAGCGGAGCCAATAATACAAAATCAAAATACGTGTGCGGAGCCGCAGGCAAAGATTAGTTAATATTAATTAATAGTTTTTATCAAAACACATATTAATAACCATATTTAACCGAACTTTTGTAGTTATGTAAAATTATATGAGTAAACTCAGCCCTCGTTTCGCTCAGGTTCTAACTACATGCCTTCCTTCGGTAACTACTTGTAACATAATCCTTCTGCAAACTTACATTTAGCCCATAATGTTAGTGTAGTGGCAGTAGTAGCCCACTGGTAACACACTATCTTGGTAAACCGAGTGATGCGAGTTCAAATCCCGGTTTCCAACATGATTAGGTCTTACGGTGAAGAAAAACATCGTGAAGAAACCTGCATATCTGAGATAACCTAGCAAGTTTTCGAAAGACATGTGCGTGTTGATACGCACTTGGCCAGCGTGGTGGACTATGGCCTGATCCCCCTCGTACTGAAGGCTCATGCCCAGCAGTGGGACGTTAAAAATGGCTGAATACATTAGTGTAGATATTTTTGTTAAACAGACATTTCTTAAAAGGTCATTGAATTTTAAAATTTCATATTCAAAGAGATTATAATTAAAACATTCTTACGAGTTTCGTTTTTCTTAAACCGAACGCTTGAAATGCTATCAAAAGTTCGTCAGCGTTTAAAAAAACTATTCAGAAAATACATTTTCAATTCAAACTTAATCTATTTTGCCAGAGACGTTATTCTTTTATGGATTTTACTAAAACTTTAAAGCAAGTCTTTTAAATTAATACGCCCTGTATAGTGTGTTGGCTGTGAGAAAGGTACCTACATTTATATTATTATAATTTTCTCTACTTACTTTTATAATTTCTATAATATTCTTAGGTACATTGTTTTAATAAGGTTTTTTATATCTCAATAATATTTCGATTAATATTTTATGTTGTATATTTCATAATAGTAGTAGACAGTGGTAGCCCAGTGGTAACGCGCTCGCTAGGACACCGATTCAAAATTGACAAGACTGAAAATTCTGCATGTCTGAGGGGAACCTAGCAACTTTTCGAAAGTTATGTGATGTCCGCTAACCCACACTTGGCCAGTGTGGTGGACTATGGCCTGGTCCCCCTCGTATTGAAAAGCCCGTGCCCAGCAGTAGGACGTTAAAAAGGGATGAATACAATATATATACGGTCCCAAAGAGTTTGATATAATATATACCTTAAATTAAGAGTAGTCAGTTCTTGTAGCTTAGTAATTCTATTTAGTCCATAACTACATGTTCATGTTATGGAAACCTTTAGAATAAATATAGCTTGTTTTATATAGAAGACTTACCCCTCGCTTTTCTTGGCACGTGCGTCCCTAAGTTACATCACAGGTCATATAATATTATAGTTCCATACAGTAGCCCATGTACTACTCAGAGCCATATTCTGCCTCTATAGTTTCATCAAAACCCATTTGGCTGTTCCATCGTGACGAAGTAACAAGCATACACACATATTATACAAACTTTCGCAATCATAGTGATGTTCTCCTAGCCGATTCCGGCTACGGCGGCCAATCTCATTGCGACTAGCCAACTGCGCAGGAGATATTATAGTGCACAAGTGTTCGCGCAGACACAAGTGCACTCTCTATTCCTGTCACTCTCATACTCTGGTGGGACGACTACTCGACACGACCAGTGAGAGTTAAGGCGCAGGACCGACGGCTTTACGTGCTCTTCGAGGCACGGGGGTGAAACACCGCCAACTTCCCAACTCCGGGCTGTTACTGAGGCTTACTATACAGAAAAACTCAATAACTAAACTTGGCCCGACCCGGGACTCGAACCCAGGGCCTCCGAGTGTGCAGCCGTCCATGCTAGCCACTACACCACCGAGGCAGATTTTGAGCAGCAATCATAGTAAGAGTCTGATAACACACCATGAACTTGATATGATCGCTTCCAGGCATTTTAATTTTGGATAAATATCAATGCAAAAAAATTACATTAGAGCCTTTATACCAAATTCTCTTTGATCCCAAAAAAAATATGATAGCATTTATTATGTTGGCTCCATATATTACTTATTATTTTACTTTTACTTACCTAATATAATTACTGTAACACTGTGATCGATAACATCGTGCAAACAAATAAGAAATTCAATTCGCAACTCGCTTCTTATCACGTAATTACATAAAGTAGTTGGAAAAAAAGAAAAAGATACTTTCACAGCTCTAGCTCTAACTCGCTCTTAATAGAAAAGTTTTAAAACTTGTAATGGATATTCGATCGATAAGTGAATGTAAGTTGGACGACACAGGTCTTACACCTGCAGCGACTGTTCAACGTTGTTATATATATATGTACGTATAATCAAAGATTTCTTATTAAAATTAAATAGAAACTATCTATCTTAATCGACAGTCTTTACGATCGATAAATTGTCAGACGATTTGTTGTACAAAATTTCAAGACATTTTATGTTATGTTAATAACTTACGTATTTTACTATGGCTATATTTAATTAAATTGGATAAGAATTTACGATTTATTTGAGTACTTTATTGACATTTCAAATGTTTGTGACGTCAATCTATGCCCCTATGCGGCTTTAATTCTCTCTGTGTAATCTGGTTGCGGTCGGATTCAATGCAAGATAGATGCATGTTGCAATGCCTCGATATTCTAATATGTGTTTAAATGATTTTCTAGACAATTATTTTGCCGACTTATTCATTTAATATAAAAATTGAATTTTTAATTACAAAGAAAATTAAAATGTACTTACATGAAAAGCTCCTTTTATGAGCGGTCCAGCTTGACCGACATATAGCGTAGAGGCTGAATCGAATACAAGTTCAAGCGGATTTCTTTTAACCGTCAAAGTATCGAACTCTTGACAATTTAGAAACAAAGATATGTTATGTGCTGTAACTTTCAATGCGAAACGACTCCATTTTTTAGCAAAAGATGGAACTACGAATGAAGCTATAGTTTGACTCAAAGTGTACATGTTAGCATCTGTATATAACAGCGAAATATTAGTGAGCCCTGGTCCAGAAGGTATTAATTGAACACCCAATTGTACGACCGTTTCCAAAGGGTTGACTACGGAAAAGAGAAATCCGCCATCTTTGTTCGCCGGTCGGACAGTAGCGGTTATTGAAAATTCCGCATATAATTTCTCTGGCATGAAGAGCCTGTACGGTGATTTAATATCGGAACCCGGTTTCAGGCCATATGCCGGAAACCCGTCTAGGCCTTCGTCGAAATACTGAGTCTTCGGATTGCTGAATGGCACACCGATCGCGTGCAGCAAGTCGTATTCAGGAATATCTGGAAAGCGATAAAATTATCTTTATTTTATGGGCACTTTACAACGTTTCTTTTAGTTTAGTTCTGTTTGTAGTGTGTTAATTTCTTAACTAGTTCACGGAAAATTTATTGTTACAACTAGGCCACGTTACAACTTTGTTTTATTGCGGTTTGTTGTGCTTCGGAGAATTTATTGAACGTCGTTAAAAATTTAACAAACTAACATTTATAAATAAACGCTTTATTTAATTGTGATAAGAATGTTAAATGTGACTGTTCTGTAATGATTATAATACAGGTACAGTAATGTGCACTTAAAGTGACATTTATAAATAACTAGCATTGCCCGCGGCTCCGCCCGCGTTCAGATGACCAAAAACTAAATTCTTAGGTGTTACATATTAGTATACTCTTACATTGCAGTTTTTGTATTTTTCCTCAGAAATAAGATATTTTCCCGCGGTAAAAAGTATCCTAGGATCGCGCGCTACATCGCCCGGTTTATATAGCTTGAGCAGGCGGTCGAGCGATGCGGGGCAGAGGGGATGGACTCGCCGTAGGCATCTCAATGCTCGCCAAGCATTAAAAATGTTTCGCTACTAATTACTTCTAACAACGATATCTCAAAAACTATTCATCTGATTGATTTAGTGTAAAGAGCAATTTTAATCTGCATTAAATGACTAAGCTAACTAAAATATTCATTTGGATAAGGATTAATACCGAACTAAAGAAAATAACTTTGAAAATAACGTAATGTTTTTAATTAAAAATGTTAACATAAAAGTGGTTATTGTAAGTCAACCGTAAGAGATAGAGATATGCTATCGCGGACTTTTTTGTAGCATTTTTATAGATTTTGAATTCTCTAGTACATTACTTAACTGTATCTTTGCTAGTTTACGCGGCGTTCGCGTGGAAAGTTCCCATTTGGCGAGATTTTTTGCGACCTCTTCAACATTTGTCGCCGTATTTCAGCTAATTTACATAAAAGCATAATAAATTATATACCTAAACCTTCCTCAAGAATTACTCTTTCTATTGTTGAAAACCGTATAAAAATCCGTTCAGTAGTTTTCGAGTTTATCGCGTACAGACAGACAGGAGGACAGACAGGAGGACAGAAAGACGCGGCCGGGGGACTTATTTTTATAATAAGTATAGATCATCAATAACTCTGCGTAATATATAATTTTTGTGCAAAAGGCAATAAATATTCTTTATGCATTAATATGTTCAAACAGATATGAAAAGATTTATGTAAAAATGAATAATAATTGACTGAATTACTGTAATTGAGAAAATATACGAAAGATGAAATTTATTAATGCTGCACATTGTCTTCAACAAATCAAGATGAACAAATCAGAATTTATAGCCGAATAATCTTGATTTGTTAATCTTAGAATAAAATATAGTCAGTTACAACCGGCAAGGAGCTTATACCATTTCGACATACTTCCTATATCTGTATCTAACCCTTATAATAATATCGCTAAAATAATTATAAGGAGATTATGATAATTATTTTAAACATTTTATGCTAACGCATTTCCTCAATCCTCTAATCCAACAACTCACACGTGTCTCACGTTCCTTTATTTCCCCAATAAATGTAATTGTTTAAGTTATTATATTATACTATGAGCTCACCCTCGCTTCGCTCGGGTTCACCTCTGGACAAACGAAAGCAAATCTATCCCACGGGAACCGTACGTTTTTCCGAGATAAAAAGTAGTTTATTTGTTATTCTGATGTATGAACTATATTATTGTAAAGTTTCATTAAAATCCAATCAGTAATTTTTGTGTACTAAGCTGTATAAGTAACCATAGTTTTTTAACTATCCCACGGGAACTCTTTAACTTTCCGGGATAAAAAGTATCTAAAATGTTGACATTAGATATAACGTGCCACCATGCAAAATTTCATTTAAATCGGTCCAACAGTTTCGGAGATTATCCTGTACAAACAAACAAACAGACAGGGTAACAAAAAAATTGAAAAAAAAAACTGGATTTGTTCTATTTCTCTTCTTACATCCCCCTGACTAGGTTTTAAGATTTTTTACCATGTACAGACATTTGTCCTCTACAGTTTATTATATGCATAGATTTTTGTTAATTCCAACTAATAATATTAAATAATAACATATCAAAATATTTTTGTTCATCGTTACACCACTTGGCCCTCTTTTTAAAGCAAACTAATTAGCACAGCATGTGCAAGTAGAATTGCGGTTATAGTGGACGTGTTTGATGCGGATACGTGCTGTATCTCTAATTATAAGTTACTATAGACACTAGACAGTCGCTCAAAAAACTGAAGCCCGAATACTTTTAGATAATATAATATTTACCTAATTAAAATAAATGTTTACTATATAGTATAAGCTATAATAATTTGAATAAATTGTTAAAAGCCATAAAAGATTGAGATCATTCGAATGAAATAAAAGTATTTTTAATTTTTATCGCATATAAACTTAAACAAAAATGGCTGTAAAGTATATAATATTATATAAGGCCTATGGATAGCAAACTCTTTGGTCTTCCAAAAATGAATAATTTTTGCATGGATCGAGATATAATACGTATGTATAATAAAATTCCACAAAAAAGTATAAAACTTTTAAGATTTTAAAACTAAAATAAAAACGGTCGAAAAACACTGACTTCTTTTAGTCTCCTTCATCACGCTACGCTGTACGTGATATTGGCGTGAAATTGGGTTAAATTGTCATACTAATCATATTTTTTTGTATATTGCTTTTAAAGCAATATACAAAAAGTTGAACTATTATCAAACGCAAGCTAATGAGTGTGTGTTTTCTATGCCTGTTGTATTCTGAATTAAAAAAAAAACTACTTACCATATGGGTGTAGTTGTGTACAAAAAGTAGTATTTTAAAATTTTTAATCTAAGAAATCCAAATTATATAATTCAATATATATACGTGGTAATATTTATTAAATTTATTATTAAAATTATTTAAATAATTAACAGAAACATGTCTGAGAGTCGTTTTAAATACAAGAATCTAGTCCTTTATCTGCAAGGACAATTAATACAACATTCGCTTTGTTGGGGGACAATAAATACGGCTCACTGTACAATCTCTGGGATTGCGGTCAGTGCGAACGTTTGATGCAGGCGTCTCATCGCGTTTAAAGTTTTTCATGATATAATCGTTGTAATGTAACTTAATATTATATTCAATATAATTTTCATTATTGTAAAGCTAAATGAGTAATAGAAATTTAAGATTTGTTCTCTAATAAACGGATAATGCACAGTCTAAAAAATTTGATGGATTTTCAAGTGTGGAAGCACACTATTGTAATATGTTTAGCGGGGGATGAAAATTGGTATGAAATTTAATCATTTTTGAAGTTAGAAATGTGGCGTAAGTCAAAAAAATAGCACAAATATGTGGGGTAATAATCAGAAGCAGCACAGCTTAATCAATTTAACGGAATTCGAATCGAAAGTGACGTAGGTTTCTCCTTTTTCTGGTAAAACGTTAAAAGAGAAGCTTTCCCGTGATCCCAGTATTATATCTTACCAGTTTTATCATATATAATCTCGGAAACGGCCCCAACGATTTTCATGAAATCTAGTATGCAGGTGGTTTCGGGGGCTATAAATCGATCTAGATTAGTTTTATGTCTGGAAAAACGCGTGTTTTCGGGTTTTCATGCGGTTTTGTTTTGCATTATTCCACGCAAAATAGGCCCGCACGCTAGGACATAAGAAACGTGGTCAAGCGGCCAAGGCGCAAGTTTGACAAACACAGGTGTCTGGGTTCGTATCCCGATCGGATACGAAGTTTTTACTTTTGTTTTTTTTTTGTATTTATTCAAATTTTTTGTTTGTTTTTTTTATTATGTTTTTTGGCCAAACATTCCGAGCAAAGCTCGGTCGCCCAGGTACTAATTGTTTATAAGCGCAGAAGGATGAGGAATATTGAAGGTGATAAGCGAAGCAAGGCTGTTTAGTAATAATTCGTTTCAAATATTTAACATTTGTTATAGAATTAGTTCGGATCAAATTTTAACAAGAAATCAATCAAATTAAAAAAAAAAAACTTTATAAAGTTATGAAAGTTGTAACTTTGTTTTACTTTTGAAGTAGAAACTGTATAATGAAAGTAAAAATGTCGACATTATATACGTAACTAGAGACTCACCCTCGAATCGCTTCGGCTTCGTTCCTAGACAAAAAAAAACTATCCCACGGGAACCGTTTTTTTATTTAGGCTATAGCCTATATAGCCTTCCTCAATAAAAGAGCTATCTAATGCAAAAATGGTTTTTCAAATCGGATTAGTAGTTCCTTAGATTGGCTCGTACAAACAATCAAACCAACAAACAAACTCTACCTCTTTATAATATTAGAATACATATACTCGTAGTAAGTTATAATATTTTTTTTTTGATTTAACGAACACTTGATAGTAATAATAAAACGCATGATATTCTCTTTAAAGAGAAAAACGTAAGTAGTAGGTACTTATTTTTCTCATTATCTTGATGTTGTAGAATTCTATTAATGTATATGAAGGTTCAGGTCGATTGACTTGAAAGTCATGCATTAAATATAGGTTTCTTCTTATTCCAGTGGTCTTGAATTTTAATTGAAATAAGCACATAACCGGAAAGCTAAGTATTTCGATTAGTCATGGTTTGTGTTGTACTATAAATATTTCTTTACTTTCTACAATGACTTTTAAATAAGTATTGCAAAATATTATATTTATTTTCTTTGAAACTTTAGATAACGCTCCAATATCTATTATTTATATTCTAAATTTTTCTTCATTTTAACCCTTAATAAAAACAAAAAAAAAATCAACCGTCTACCTGTATTGAAAAATTCAAATAAACAAACCTATATTGGTTTGGATATGCGTAAATCTCTAATCTATCTGTATTAGGAACAGAATTTGATTACAACATAACATATTGTCAATTTTACGAATAAATGGCTTTAGGCGAAATCGTTTCCCTTTCGATTTATATAAATCTGCAAAGAATGTTATTATAAACACGGCATTATTTTATAAATTTTTAAACTTTTCATGTCGTATATTTTAGTAGACTTAAAATTCTCATGTCTCTTTTATTTTTATGGTTACTAGCGCAAGCCCACGTATATAATAACCGTTATGGTGGCAGTCGACAAATTCGTAGCTTACCACCCGCGGTTGCTGTTTATTTTATAACTTTTATTATAACCGCCGACCCGCCACGAATGCGGTCTATTTTTAAACTAAATATAGCCTACAACCCACTGTTATATTTTTTTTCTTGGTTATGATAATTTAATAAGGCTTTTTTATCGTAAAAGTATACTAGCTTTTAAATTAATAAATATGTTGGGACATTAACACACAGCACCGTCTAGTTCCATGGTAAGCTACGAGGCTTGTGCTATGGATACCAGATAGTTAATACACTACGCATATTATATAATTTTAAAATCTTTATTGCACTTATGAAACAAAATATTGAAATTGCATATTTAAATGACAAAGGCAAAGGTGGATACATAAATATTATAAATATAAATATCCATGACTAGAGTAACATTCGTGCTCATCACACAAATGAATGCCCCCAGCGGGACTCGAACCCGTGACAACTGGCACAGTAAGTATGGTCACTACAAACTGAGCCAAATGTGTCATCACGTGCTTTTACTGCAGCTCCTCTCGTGTTGACTATTTATGTATGACTGTTTCGGCCCTAAAAGTTGTAGCGTGATATTATCCTTTACAAGAATTGTTTTATCAACGCAAAAAAAGATTTTCAAATCCGATTGGTAATTTCAGAGATTAATGCGTTCAAACAAAAGAACAAACTTTTCGGTTTATTATATTAGTATAGATTAGTTTGTGCTACTTGCAAGGGATAAAGCTTTATCTATCTGATCGTTAGATATGATTGGGCCTTTGTAACAAACCTATGAAATCCATTAAAAACAATCGACGCGTGATGGAGTGAAACGAGTAAAAAAATTAAACACTTTTGTCGTTTCCATTTAAAAACCATTCAGCAAACATTTTTAAAGTAAATATTTGATCTACAAACTTTTAAAGTTCTAATAAATATTCAAATGTAATGGTTTTTGTGTGTACTTTGCGTGATATATACTTTTTAGATTAATATACATACACACAATATAATGATAGATAATAATTAATTATGGGTGGCAGATAGTGAGAAGTTATTGTTTTTTTTTAATATTAGTTTAGATCTATTCCGTGGGATTTTTTGATTAACCCGGGATTAAAAAAATTGTCACTCTCAATGGTATCTTCTACCTATTATATCAGTTAATACTCTCGCTGATATACTGACAGATCGAAACATACACTCACTAAATAGGATAATTTAAAATGGATTAAATAAATAAAATATTTCAACGTTAAAATATCTAAGGGTCTTTTGTACCGACAGTCCCATCCCATTTATAACTACTGACACTGTTTATTTAAACAAAATTTATTTAATATATTTCATGTAGAGCCTTCGTTTAAATTTTAAAGGTTTTCGGTTAAATATACTTTTGCCTGCAGAGAAGAGTCACTTCAGTTATGTCTTATACTTTTTAACTGATTTCCAAAAACGAGGAGGTTCTCAATTCGTCGGAATCTTTTTTTTTAATGTATGTTCACTGATTTACTCGAAGACGCCTGAACCGATTTGGATTTTTTTAGATATGAATATCTAATAGGTAAATATGTATTTTACGTATCAAAATATATTAGATTTCCTATGCGTCGGCTGGCACCGACTTCAAAAATATCTGATTAGGTATCTATTCTAAATGAAAACCCCCGTTCAGTTATTTTTACATTTTAGTGCCTGGAAGTCGGATTTTTTTTTCAATAATTTTTTTTTTTACAACGCGGAAGACGGTAATCAATACCAATAATTCAATTACCTAATACTAAAAAGATTGCGTACAGTGCCACGATTGTAAATGTAGTTGCGTTTAATTGTATTTTTAGCTGAATTTTAAAACGTAATATTTCTTATCCTGAAACAAATATTTTTATTATATTCACCAAAATAAAATTACAAACGCTTATAAAATTTTAAATATTTTGTTGCGGGGAGTTTGGGGTATAATACAATAATGATTTTCCATTGAAGGGAGGCTCGAGGGCCCCATTAAGAACGTGCCTGAAGAGAATAATAACTTTTTGAAGAAGAGAAACAGATAATATACCTATAACGTAACATTTCGCACTTTTTTCTACCCTCCTTACATTTTTTTATTACTTAATTATTTAGGAGCTCTTGCGTTCATAAATTATTATGATGATGATGTCCAATTTCCGTCACGGCAGCCAATCTCACTGACACTAGCCAACTGCACAGGAGATATTAGGTATAATGCACAAGACGTTTTCGCGCTTACACAAGTGTATTCTCTATTCCTGTTATTTTCAACTTTCGATGAAACGATAATCCGACACGATCGGTGAGAGATCAGGTGCAGGATCGACGGCTAACGTACTCTTTAAGGCGCTGGGGTGAAACACCGCTTACTTCCCAACTCCGGTCTGTTAATGAGACTTTCTTTACATAAAGACTCGATAACTAAATTTGGCCGACCTAAGACTCGAACCCAGAATCTACATCACCAAGGCAGTTACTACTACACATTATTACTTTAGTAATAAATTAAAACAAACTTACCGTTCGGATATTTGGATCCAAAAAGTCCATCATTAGCTGCACAAATTGTACTGGATAATACAATTACTAGCCAAATGTACCTGAAAATATAAGAAATAAAATATTATTAGAAGAATTCTTGCTAAGCTAAAAAATAGTTTTTTGTTTGTTTTTTATACCGATATGAAAGTTATCTCTAGAGACTTAAATGCATCAATCAACCGAAATGAGCTATCCTACGATGTGATGAAAGAACAACTTTTCATATGATTTTGATTTACTTCTTATTCTGTAACGGCTCAATATTTACTTTAAGTTTGAAATAGATGATCAAGCTCATCATCATCTCTCTACCCATTTCCCAATTACTTAAGGTCGGCGCAGTACATCTCCCGTACTGCTAATCGGTTTTTGGCAAAAGGTTTATAACCGGCCGCCTGCCTGATATCAACCCTCTTTGAGAATGCTGTTGTTTATCCGCTATCGTGCAGAGGACCCAAGGTGCGATGACCAGCACAAAGTCCTTAGATCATTTAGTTAGTTATGAAATAGATAGCTTGTATATTGGATTACTATTTGTATAGATGGTCTGAATTAACTCAGATAACTATTTTGTGAATCATTTTCTGTGATTTGTAACTCTTTCTTGTGAGTTGTACAAAATTTTGTGTAAAATCCAGTAAAACATTGATTAAGTTACTTTCAGATGAGTAAGGTACAATTAAGAGTCGGACTAAACACTCAAAATCGTATGTATCAATACATATTATAAAATAAAGTCCCCCGCCGCGTTTGTCTGTCTTAACGCTATTGTAAATTTAAAAACTACCCAACGGATATTCATATGATTATCAGTAAAAGACGAAATGACTTACTAGGAAGGTATAATTAAGATTTTGTCTAAATTGGCTGAAATATGACAATGATTATTCCGTCAACGTCCACGACCGCGGGCACACCGGTGTGTCAGCTAACAATTAATTTCTTAGAAATTAACCTGGAGGGGTGTAGGAAAAATTCATGCCGACTGGAAGCTTTATTGGCGTACACACGCGGCGTATACATTAAAGCTATATAAAAATAATATATTACGGAACTATTGTTCTTAATAACATCTATAAAACTTTAGCAACGCTATATGTACGTACATAGAGACGCACCCGAGTGATGCGAGTGTAGGTCACGAGTTTACACATAAATTTTATATTACACTTAATCTAATAATTACATAAAATATAATGATAATACGTTTTGTTTTTAAAATAAATAAGAAAAGCCATGAGATCTTTTCATTTTTGTATATATTGTTATAATTATAATAGAATAACAATAAAATTCTACATAGAAATGTTCTAAAACATTTAGGATTCAATGCTTAACGATTTTCTAACTCTATTGTAATTTAAAACAAGCGGTATTCAAACGACGAAGCAAACTTAGTAATTGTAGTAATGGACTGAAGATTCATTAAATTGCGAACTGTCGGCCAATCGAACGATGAATATCCAATCAAACCCATTTATACCAACCATGTACCGAGATGAAAGAAGTGTCGATCTGCAATTCAGATCGTTTTCTGAATCAACGAGATGAAGTGAGATTTAATTGATATGAATTCGTGAATTCTTATTGGACTAACATTTAGATTCGTTAAGCATTAGTCGCTTAATCTCTGATCTATTGATTGCCAAAAATACTAATCAACATTTGTTTTATGTAACTAGTCTGAGGCACTAACTTAATTAGTTTAATATGTATGTATTTAAAGTTATATATGTGTAGTGTATCAACTATCTGGTATCCATAACTCAAGCCTCGTAGCTTACCACGGAACTAGATGGCGCTGTGTGTTAATGTTCCCACATATTTATTTATTATTTATTTAATAATAATTAACTATCGACTCTCATATTCACCCTGGTAAGGGATGATTTCCAGGGTAAAAACTATCCTATGTCAGACAGACAGACAGAGTTACTTTCGCATTTATATATTAGTATGAATTATTTGTATAATATAATAATAATTATTGTAAAAGCTAAGCAAGTCATTTCAAGCAAATTGATTAGAATAATACGCCTAGTCATGGAGAGTGGAGGCAAAGGTCGAAGGCGCTGAACTAAACTTTTATGAAAGGAAATTAAGCAATAGCAACGTAATAGCCGTGAATGAAGCCTTAATTCCAAAGAAAACAGGCGTTAAATGAAATAACCTATAATCGTGCACCCTTAACTTTGATTTATTTACATTAAAGACTAACAATTTGTTAAACATATTAATAATATATCTGTATAAATATTATAAATGTGAAAGTTTGTGAGTATGTATGGATGTTTGTTACTCTTTCACGGCAGAACGGCTGTAGGGATCTGAATGAAATTTGACACAAAGATAGATTATAGTCTGGAATAACACTTAGGCTACTTTTATCGCGGAAAAATATACGGTTCCCGAGGGATAGATTTGTTATTATTTTTCCACTAGTAATATAATAAAATTCTAACTGAGTCGAATCTGTATATTAAATATTTTTTGGAAAATCTTATTGAAATAGTTATTATTAGTGATATAGAGTCCGAATCTATATTTTTTAGAATTTTTGTTTGTCTGTCTTTGTATCTGTCTGTCTGTCTGGAAACGTATCATGAGAAAACCACTAAACAGATTTTGATGAAATTTGGTATGATGATAGCTGGTTATCCGGGTCAACATATAGGATACTTTTTACTGAAGGTTTAGCTATCTATACAGATAAATTAAAATTGAAGTGTCTGTTTGTATTGTCAAAATAACAGCTCTTTACTAAATGAACATGGAATTATATGGGTACGGTATTTATAAGCAAAACACAATTTTTAAAATTTTTGTCTGTCTGTCTGTTTTGTCCGGCTAATCCCCGAAATGGCTGGGCCGATTTTGACGGGACTTTCACTGTCAGGCATTTGATGTTATAAGGAGTAACTTAGTCTACTTTTATTTCAGTAAAAGAATTAGGGTTCCGCTCAAAAAAGTTAAAATGTATCTAGGGACGAACCCTAGCGAAGGGTGGGTGAGTCGTAAATTATAAAAATTAGCAACTTATCTTTGTTTGACATAGGCACATCCCTAGTGGCCTAAACATAAACAACATAATTATGTTTTACTCCAGGTTATAATCTATTTATATACTACATATCGTTCAAATCCGTGCAGCTATTTAAGATTGCTGTAAGAACGTATACATACTTACAAATTCTTCCAATTGAAAAAAAGTTAGATTAACTATTTTCAATCGACTTCCAAAAAGGAGGAGGTTCTCAATTCATCGTAATATTTTTTTGTATTTAAAAAAGTAAAAAAAAATTATACATGTATGTATAATATAATTTGTATGTGCTTTTAAAAATAAAATTTATATTTAAAATGTTTGTGTCACAAAAACCAACCTAAAAATTATATAGAGATATATTTGTATAGAGCCACTTTATTCATTAACGTCGATTAAAATCGATTTAGAATTAACAAAGATATCGGATAACATACACAAATGAAGTCAAAAATAAAATCAAAAATCGAATACAATATTATGGACGGATCATTCATCCCGACAATTAATTAAACCGAACATCCCGTTTAGAAACAGTCGGAATTAATTGGAGGAGAACAAAAGTCATAAGGACCGATCCATCAAGAATCAGGTTGAAGGGGGTTTGACAGCGGCCTATTTAAATTAGATGTCGAGTAGTGTGTTGGTTTTGAAGTTTCTTTCCATGTAAATAGTGCTTTGCGGTAAAATTGATTATAGACTAAAATTACATGTAAAATAACTAGAATTACTAACCAGTTATATTTAATTAAGGTTTTTATGTATATATATACTTAATTAGCGACTCACCCTCGCTTCGCTTGGATTCGAACCTATACATATATATGAAATATAGCCTTCCTCAATAAACGGGCTATCTAATGCTAAAAATACCGTATATACTCGTACTTTCATATGCATTTTCTAATGCAATTAGAGATCTTGTTATGTTGACATTACAAACAGACTCTTCAATTTTGTTTATCTGTATAGATTATATATTTTAGTTTTTATTAAGTTCTTATTATAATATAATATTCCATCTTTACCCGCTCTAGCTGCGTAGTTTATTTATTTTTAATTGCTTCCCTACTACGATTTTTTTTATTTTTTTCAAATATGTTGGGACATTATAGTACACACACATAGCACCATCAAGTTCCATGGTAAGCAACGAGGCTTGTGTTATGGATATCAGATAGTTGACTACACATATATAACTATAAATACATACATATTATAAATATAAAAACACATGACTGGAGTACCAACATTTGTGAATCATCATCACACAAATGAATGCCCCCAGCGGGATTTTTTTGGGTTGTATTATAACGTGTTTTCCTGTAGGAGTGAAATAATCTCCTGCGATAAAAAGTTGCTTATGTCACTCTCCAGCTCTCCAACTACCCTCACACAAAAAATCACGCCAATCCGTCACTCTGTTTTGACGTGAAAGAAGGACAAACAAACAAACACACTTTCACATTAATTTATAATATTAGTATGGATTTACATTATAAGGATAAGGATTACTCAAGTATCTATCTGTCGAGTTCGCGAGATCCAATACTTACTATATATTAATACTAGGTATACATAACAGTGTAAACGTAACCAAAACATTTCATTATTATTTAAATATATAATATAACGTTTTAACGTTTAGTATAGACTTCTCAGAAATTAGATATTTTCCCGCAACAAAGAGTATCCTATATGTTGACCCGGATAACCAGCTATCATCATACAAAATTTCATCAAAATGCGGTAACAGACAGACATACAGACAGACAAAATTCTAAAAACTATAGATTCGGCCTCTGTATCGATAATAATGTCGATTTCAATAAGATTTTCCAAAAAATATTTAATGTACAGATTCGGCTTAGTTACAATTTTATTATATGTATAGATAATGATAACTTTAAAAATGTAGCATTAAATGACTACACAAGATATATTTCACAAAATATTATATCATCCTGTAACATTTTCGGTTAAAAACTGTCTTATTTGTACTTAAGTATAACAAGA